CGCTCACCGTCTACTTGGTCATCGCCTTGGCCTCGGTGTCGTCGCTCTTCCTGTTCTCGGTGGTGCTGTTCGTGGCGGTGAGGCTGTGCAGGAGGAACAGGGCAGCATCTGCGGGTCTCTGCTCTGTGCCTGAGGGCCACTTTCTGGGCAACCTGGCGGACCTCAGAGGCACCAGAACTCTGTCCCAGAGCTACCAGTATGAGGTTTGTCTGACAGGCGATCAGGGGACCAGCGAATTCAAGTTTCTGAAGTCTGTTACACCCAACCATCACGGTGCTGTGAATGAGGTGGAGGAAAAATCCAACTTTGTAAATGGTTTTGGATTTGATTTGAAATCTTTTGACTTTTCAGAGCATTCAGGATAAAGGTTAGTTACTTCTCAAGATACTAGATCTCCATTATGTTTCATTTATTGGTCCATATAGAATTTGTTTTTGCTGATTTGATTTTCCTTGTTAGGGAGATTAGAAATTTTCTTTGATTATACCTTCATGTAGTACCTCCTTCCTTTCCTTCTGATTACTGAATGTCATGAATATTTCTTCAATTTATCAACTTTTCAGAGTCACCGGCACTTGATTTGAAGATGACCCCAGCCCCATTCTCTGATAATTGTTCATAAATTTTTTCTATATTTTTGGTGTTTAGAAGACTAGGATAATAATATAATGAATTATTAGTGTACCTTCTCCTTAATTTGATATTATGCTTGCTTGTCTTGAGACATAAATTTTGGAGAAGTATCTGCAAAAATTATAAGGTTTTGTTTGAAATAATATTATTTCACAGTAATATTAAATAGGGAAGGCTGCAATTTCTCCCACACTTAACAACTTTTCTGTTCTTTATCGCAACCTTCAGTATATAATATACATGCATATCATTAAAAGATAATTAGATTATTAGATCCTTTTTGTAGTGTCTAGCCCATCTTATATTTTTCTGGAAACTTTTCCTGTATTTAGCAGAGGTATATTGTTGCAGCCACTTTCTTTCTTCCTTTTTTTTTTTTTTTTTTTTTTGCAGTTTTGGCCAAGGAGGGCTTGAACCCGCCATATGGGGCCGGAGCCCTACTCCTTGAGCCAAGGTGCTGCCCTTCCCCTTTTTTTAGCCATGCTCTTTTTTATATAACCCATCTCTCTCTGATTTTAGATCATTTTACAGAATAATAAATATTGCTGATCCAAGTTGGTCCAATCTGATTCTGTTTTTAAAAATGGCTTTACAAACCAGATATAGTCTCCTTGTTAAGAACTTAACAGAAAAATGATGTCATGATTTGCTAAATACATGAAAAGAAGTACAGAAATTCAACCTACTAAGAGACAAGAAAAAAAGGAGATGCCAAAAGAGTGACATAATTGTATATTTTCCTCTTGTAGATTTTCTGGTCCTTTCAAGTCTTCTTTCTCCTTGTGAGACAAATGTGTATTCTGTTAATAAATTTCCCTCTAATTAAGATATCTAAGTGAGGTTTTCATTGCTATTGTCAAAAGCCTGTTAGATATTCTTGCATGGTTGGTAAGGTAGACTTTCCTTACCATTAATTTGAGTTTCTTGTAGGTTTTCATATTAATATGATCATGAATCACAGGTTATAAAATATTAATATTAATAGTCTATAAGGGATGCACACAAGCTTTTGTTAGATTATATAATTTTGATAAAAACTGAAAGATTTTTCCAGTGCTACAGTCTTTGCAGTATTTAGTAGAAATTCTGAGAAAATGTTACTATATAAGACAGTTTAGTGGGACCATGCCTAAGGTGCATCTTACAAGGGTACATGTGAAATTTACTAGGTGTAGAATATAAATGTCTGAACACAATAACTAAGAAAATGCCATGAAGGCTATGTTAATGAGTTTGATGAAAATATTTCAAATTGTATATGAAACCAGCACATTGTACCCCATTATTACATTAATGTACACAGCTATGATTTAATAAAAATAAAAAGACAGTTTAAATATTATTGGTATCATAATGGCATTAGTATAAAATAACATCGACAATGTAAAATGTGTGTCTTAAAGGGATGTATACCTTATTTTTTAGGATCATCATAAGCTTGTTTTGCTCTTTCTTTTTATATCATTTTGTTTAGGGAGAACCTGGGTATTTTGCCATTAATGAAAGGACATTTTAGATCATTCTGAGTTATTTCAAGTTCAAAAGAGCATAGAAAATAGCTACTGGGGAACATGTTGTCTTCTTTATCCAGCTTTTATAACGAACTGGGACCTCAGCAAAAGAGGGGACTTCTCTGGAGGAGGAGAACTAAACTGTCAGAATTTTAAAATTAATTTGGCTTTATTAATGGATCTACTCAAGAAGTATTTGTTGACTACTCTGTGCCAGGGATTATCATAGATTTGGGGAATGCAGCCGTGACCAAAACAAAGTTTTAATATTCAAGTGTTGCACAGAAGAAAAACAAATATGTGCATTTATACTATGTCAGATGGTAATAAATTCTGGAGAGAAAAAACAGGGTAAGAAATATAGGAAGTGCCCTCATGAATTTTCCCACAGTTTTCAAATATCATAAAATCATAATTCTCTGACCTTATGTAGAGAGGATTTCACATTTTCATATTGAAATGAACTGATTGCTTTTTCCCTGATGTAATTCAACCAATGTTGGCCAAAATTCTAGAAAATAGGCTACCTGGAATTTGAAAGAAACACAGAGGAATTCTTTTTGCCGAGAGAATTTTAAGAAATCACCTGGCTATATTTTATTTTTGCAGTGTGACTTATCACCATTATATCTTCTTTTACTTCTCACTTTCCTTCAGAGCACCCCACCCAGACTACAGGCTCTAGATGGTAAGAACTATGTCCAGGTTGTTTACTAATGTATTTCAGAACCTGGCACATAGATATCAATAATACTTCTTGGAATGAAGGAATGAATAATTATAATTGCATGATTGTTATGATTACATCATCTCCAATTTCCAAACTCCTAATAGAATAGAGAATAGGACAATTTTAGCAATTCGTGTTGAAGTAAAGACAACGCATGGTGGCGCTGCAGGCTAAGCCTTAAAAAAGTGCCCACTGACGGCTAGGAACTTCTTCAGACTTCTTTCAGCGGAAGATAAAAAGCTTGTAAGCAGAGCTCCGACCAATCGGTCTCCAGAAGATCAGTGCTCACCTACATTTCCGGAGTGTTTATCAACTGACAGATCGATCACTGTCTCAGTCGCATCACTCCCTGTGGTAGTTCTGGACCCTGTTCCTGGAAAGGCGTGTGCAAAAGTAAAGATGGAGGCCAGAGGGAAGCGCTTTCCTAAACAAAGGCAAGTCCTGATTCTCTTTTTTTTACTGGGAGCGGCTAAGGCAGGCTGGGAACCCCTTCGCTATTCTGTGATGGAGGAAACAGAGAGAGGCTCTTTTGTCGCCAACGTGGCCAAGGACATAGGGTTGAAAGTAGGAGAGCTATCTGCACGGGAAGCCCGGGTAGTCTCTGAGGATAACCAACCACGCTTGCAACTTGATCTGCAGAGCGGGGAGTTAACATTAAATGAGAAACTGGACCGGGAGGACCTGTGTGGCTCCACTGAACCCTGTGTAATGAATTTCCAAGTGTTACTGAAAAAACCTTTGCAAGTATTTCGAGCTCAGTTACTGGTAAGAGACATAAATGATCACTCTCCTGAGTTTTCTGAAAGAGAAATGGTTCTGAAAATCCTAGAGAATAGCTCTCCTGGAACTGTGTTTTCTCTGAAAAAAGCTCAGGACTTAGACGTGGGTGACAACAACATTCAAAACTACACTATTGGTCTCAACTCTTATTTTCATGTTTCCACTCGCACCCGAGGGGATGGCACAAAATACCCAGAGCTGGTGCTAGACAAAGAACTGGATCGGGAGGAGGTGGCAGAGCTCAGATTAACCCTGACAGCTCTGGATGGTGGCTCTCCACAGCGATCTGGAACTTCGCAGATCCGCATCGTGGTCTTGGACATCAATGACAATGCCCCAGAGTTTGCACAGACTCTCTACAAGGCACAGGTCCCAGAAAACAGCCCAGTAGGCTCCCTAGTTGTCAAGGTCTCTGCTAGGGATTTAGACGCAGGGACAAATGGACAAATTTCATATTCTCTTTTTTATAGTTCTCAGGAGATAAGCAAAACTTTTGAACTAAGCAGCTTTACCGGAGAAATTCGACTAATTAAAAAACTAGATTTTGAGACAATATCCTCATATGAGCTAGATATAGAAGCATCTGATGGTGGGGGACTTAATGGAAAATGCTCTGTCTCTATTAAGGTGTTGGATGTTAACGATAACTCCCCAGAATTAACAATTTCATCACTTACCAACCCAATTCCTGAAAATTCTCCCGAGACAGAAGTGGCTCTGTTTAAGATTCGAGACCGAGACTCCGGGGAAAATGGAAAAATGGTTTGCTCAATTCAGGACAATGTTCCATTTATGCTGAAACCGTCAGTTGAGAATTTCTACAGGCTGGTAACGGAAGGAGGGCTGGACAGAGAAAGCCAAGCTGAGTACAACATCACTATCACCGCCACTGACTTAGGGACACCCAGGCTGAAAACACAGCTCAACATAACAGTGCTGGTTTCTGACATCAATGACAACGCCCCCGCCTTCACCCAAACCTCCTACACCCTGTTCGTCCGCGAAAACAACAGCCCCGCCCTGCACATAGGCACCATCAGCGCCACAGACAGAGACTCAGGCACCAACGCCCAGGTCGCCTACTCCCTGCTGCCACCTCAGGACCCGCACCTTCCCCTCGCCTCCCTGGTCTCCATCAACGCCGACAACGGACACCTGTTCGCCCTGAGGGCGCTGGACTACGAGGCCCTGCAGGCCTTCGAGTTCCGCGTGGGCGCCACAGACCGAGGCTCCCCCGCGCTGAGCAGCGAGGCGCTGGTGCGCGTGGTGGTGGTGGACGCCAACGACAACTC